AATATTTAAACATAAAATAAAATAAAAAAAGTTAAAAAAATAATATTTTTAAACCGAAGTTAGAAATATCTATAAAACAATATGATACTAAGCAACAATGTTAAATTGCATATTGATGTCTTTATTTTCACGGACAATTAAATTCTTACTAAATCACTCATAAACGTAAAGATGAAATTTAGATCAGTACATTTAGCCGGTCAGCTCTAAATCAGATCAGTAAATCAAGTAAAGTTCATATAATTAGGGTAAAGCGTTACATCAATATTGTTAATAAGCTGGTCAAGTACGGTCAGTGTTTTCCGATAATAATACAGTAATATATGTAATAGTCATTCTAGTTCCTTCGAAACATCCGCAACAGAAAAACTCTGACATATAAAACAAACCATAAACCACGGCAACTTTGGTTGAAATTATATTATTATAACAATCTGTTAATGTCCAACATCATTCCTGTAAAGACTTTTGTAGTAGCTGTCAAAATAAGGGCTTGAGATAATGGCTGAAGACTTATATTATCCTGTGATTTTTAACCACGTAGTGTTAACCACGTAGAAGAGAAGTTATACACAATTCTTTTGCAGATTAAAATCATATACTGTATTAAAATTAAAAATATTGAAATGTTTTTTGGGAATCATGTGTGATCAATGAACTGTATCTAATAAACAAATATAGATTCTTTTATTGAAATTGACAATATAGATTCTAAAGTTCTAGATTCATTCTAAAATATTGTTTTTACATAAGCTAAAATATTCTTTAAGCATTCGTAAAAAATTTGTTCCGATTTTTATAGTATATACATATTTTATTAGAACATATATACTTTTTGAAACAGTATTATTGTAATAAAAAGAATTGTACTTAAAATATTCAATATTTAATTAAACAATGTATGGAATAATTAAAAGAATATCTTACTGCGAATTTAATTTCAAAACTTAGAGATTAACCAAAAGAAGTTGCATAAATACTCGAATACAGTTCTCAAAGATCTAGACCGAATTAAGTCTAAATATATATATAATAATATACACGCAAAATGGTAGAGTTCTTAACATCCCAATTGTCAAATTTTAATTTATGTTCAAAATTTATGCAAATTATACTTTAAAAATATTGCAACTGTTTGTATTTATCAGCACTAATTCGTCTATTTTTCTAGGTTTTGGATTTTTAAATGTTAAGCCCACAATTCTAGCTCAAAGATGTTTGATAAGTTGTAATTTAGGTTAGGTTGGAGTGGCAACCTTATATCTAAGAAAACCCACTTGAGTTCAAATAATGGCACTTTGTAGTACCACAGGAATTGCTTTGATTCGTACATAGACTAAAAAAGTCAGCTAACGACCAACACCGAAAGACTAAACGACTTCCCATTAGGTAAAAGTAAATCAACCTCACAATTTTATGAATTAAGCTAAGCCTCTTGAAATCCAAGATTAAAACCTCTTGGAAAACTCCTTTTGTTATGGTTAAGGTTTTTCTGTTTAACAAAAGAATATAAGTCGATTTATTTTTTTCAATATATATTCTGATTTTTTATGCTCTAGCTCAGATGTTAATTTAAGGCTTTTATATATCAATTATTCCATATGACTGGATTAATGGTCATTGAGTATATTTGGTCTCTTGAGTATCTTTGGACACAAAGCTCAAATCCTTGAAAATTTATGAATTATTGTGAAACGGACATATCCCAGCACGATCACCCACTACATAACTAGAAGGAGCGAATTAAGTTTGCCTGAAGGAATTTCCCACGAAGCAGCATAAGTAAACCATTAGTGGCAAGTAAATAAAAACGAATAAATAATTATTTAAAAATAAGAATCTCAGTGTAATTTATTAAAATTTTAAAATCAGTTATTAAATCAATTAATAACGAATGTTTAATGAGGCATGTAAAACTGGACACTGAACGCTTTAATTTTTTTATGAATTTATTTTATTTTTGTGTTTAGTTTATTTTTAGGCATATAAAGAACTAAAATTAAAAATTTCATATTATGAATTAATAAGTATATAATAAAATAATTGTTTTACAGACGAATAAATTAAGGTTTGAAAATTTCCGACTAATGTTGCTTGCGACCTCATATACTAAATAAAAAATTATCAAAACTCAAGAGAAGAATTTTTCTTTATGTGTACAAGAGCACAAATTTAAATTTATTGCTAAATAGCAATAAATGTGATTTAAAATTACTAATAACTTTATTAAACATAAATCCAAGTGCACAAATTATGATTTCATGATTAGACAAAATCAGATTCCAGCATATGAAATAATAATGGGTCAAGCCGGAAGCTAATCGTCTTGATTGCTGCAAGTCAAGAGATTTATCGCTTATAATAATCTGAGTGAGTAGATCAAAAATTTTCATTTGTATATTTGTCTGTGCAAAATTATTCAAGCAATTTCATACTGAGTGAATTACACTTTGATGCAAAATGCATTTTGTTCATAATTGAGCCTAAAGTTATTATTTGCTGCACTATTGTGCACTTTAAATGGATTTTAATAAACTCTTCTGTAGTGTGTTAAGCATAAATATTATTAATATAAATAATCTGTGCATTCAGATACTCAAATACATAGAAATTCATAAATATAACACTAATTTTATATAAAATATAAATTTTATAATATATAGAAGCGTATAAATAAAATAGGTTGAGTAATTTAATTGTCACGTGTGTATTTTGTAGTAATCACTACAACTACGGAAACGGAATTTTATATGTCGTGCTAAATAACTTTATATAAAAGGAGCACACACGCATAAAAAATTCCATTAATGATATTTATATTAAGACTGAACAATATGAGAACAGCAAAAAAAAAAAATAGATTATTTTAAAGGAAACATAAATAAACAATGGTGTACCAACGTTGTTAGTACAAAAATAAATATAAAAAATTGTTAAACAAAAACAAAAAAAAAATTGAGAGCATTTGGATTGCATAGCACAGATTTTCCCAGGCGTACACAGCAACAATTTGTTTCGAAATGGCTTTGAATAAACACACAAAATGGAGTACAAATACTCCGTACTCCTCCATACTCCGTTTCTGAAGAGGCATGGCAAAAGAGCCTGATGTTTATTTTGAAGCTGCACACATCTATCAGGATCCGTGTTAGTACATACCATATATTGCCTTGTGTATTCAAGATGTTTGCTGTGTTCTTATGAGATTGACAAAATTGTTAAATCACTGAATCAAAAAATATCGTGCACACAGAACAACACACAATATTAAGTGGAAGTGATGCTAACAACTATCTCAGTGGAAAAAAATTCGATTTGAGAAAACTTCGTATTATTATTCTCAAAACGTAATGGTGAAACTTTAAAATTAATAATTTAGAAAAATAAGTAATGTTAGTTTACAATTTTTGCATACATGATTAATAAGCATCAAGTGGAACAGCATTTAATTATTATTCAACAAGGATTTAACACGAACGACTTGAGAGTCAGTTATTTTGCATACAACATTGCGTGTTTGCTGTAATTTCGTTTTAGATAATTATATATAACAATATATATTTTTTTAAAATAATTGGATGTGTGCAATATTTTACAAATTAATAAATATTTAAATTTTTTAAATTGTAAATCGAAATTCATAGTTTTCTTCAATCAAAGTTTCACTCTATAGTCCTTCATTTTTAAAGAAATTTGCATGAAATTTATATTTAAAATTATTTTTTAAATTTTAAAAAATATTTGTACTGAACTTCATAATAAAAATTATTCGAATAATCTAAATCTACACATGATTACACAACATGACTACATTGGGATATAAGCGGCTCTCTAACTGAAAAAGCAGTAGGTACTGGTGTCTATGCATCCAGTCTGAATACTTAAGAGCACTAGATCAAAACGTAATACTATAAAACTATAACTTATTAATTAAATTTTTCCACAGCTGGTTTAGAATTTTGTTGCAATATAACAAAGCAAGAAAGTTTTCTTTAATTAATCTATAGGAAAAATTAACAAAACTCTATTTTAGAACAATACAAACCAAGTACGACTTTGGGACGACGATTGGCAAAATAAAACTGAGCTTCAAAATTGAACAGGTACAAGTTTAAGCCTTGATTGTAGGAGTCTAAAAAATTATTTACATAAAAATAAATACAAGAAATACTTCAAAACGACCATCAATGATGGATATTTAGTAAAATTCGAAACAGCTTTTCTATTAAAAAATGTTTTTTTACGAATGAATAGTTTCATTCTGCAAAATTTACTTTAAAAACACATCTATTATTTAAGCAGAAATTTATGCTAAAGACAATGCTATTGAAATATGAAACACTGATTGAAATATTGTTTGCAAATCATACAAATAATGCTCAAAATTACAACGTATGCATATGAAAGTGATTTAATATGGATTTTGAAAAATTATAAAGAAAGATTTGTACTTTCCAAATGAAGTCAGTCAATCCTTTCATTCTTACTATGAAAATAAAATTAAATTTTATAAATAATTTCAACATAGATTTACAATTTCTACCTCTACTTTAATTTTGCAATATGTCTTAATTCCTAAGCCATTAGGACTGATGATGGAGTGATGATTAGTTTCTTTTATAAGTTCAAAAATAACCCATAGGTTACAATAACGAAATTACAGAGAAAATCGCTGTTTGAAAGCCATGATTCATCCTGTGGCTTGATCAAAGAAAATTTGTTTCCTTTCCTCCAGAGAGAAGAGGAAAAGTCTATACTTGGATAGTGGAATCTACCAGGGCTATTACAATCTAAATCGTTATAGATACTTGTAATCCTCAAATAGGAATTCACTCTAATAAAACTTGTAGGTTTCGAAGAGAGGAGGTTGACACCACGAAAAGTGTAATAGAAGCGTGCCCAGTAGTTGAACCGAAAGATGTACCTAGTGAAAATAAATAAAATAAAAAATACTTTAAATTCATGAAAAGGATCGAGATTTCTACGTTGCAGTATAAAATTTAGTTACTTATGGCGTTGTGGATTGGTAAATCTGGATTCAATTCAGATTTACTCTTGATCTGTCAAAGAGTAATATAACACTTTTTTAAACGTGATAGTAGACATTTATATTTTTTCACAAATACATATATCGAATCAAATCAGTCAAATTAAATAAAACAGCTGTTAATTTTAGGATAATATTGTTACTCTGGCAAAATATCTAGAGTGTTATAAATGCATCTCAAGTGTTATACATTTCCCTCTAGATTTGTTAATCGAAAATGAGAAGTGTACTAAAAGTGCAATAAAAGAGTATTTGTATTAAAAAAATGACCCTAGATTTACCAATCGAAAACGCTATTAATAATATTCTATTTGATAATTATAAAGATATTTGTTATTAATACATCTGTTCAATTTGAAAATTGTAAATATGAATTATTTATATGTACTTTTTGATTCAATTTTACATTTATTGCAATATTTGCTTTAACAACGAAGGCTCTAAAGGCATTTGGTTTTATATAAGAATTTAATTTCATCTTTTAAGATTTTCTAAAGAGATTTTAAATTCAAAACTTTGAAAACGATGGTATTAAAGTCTAAAAATATATTTATTTATAATCACGACTGGAAGAAAGTGTTGTTTTATTGGCAACGTAAACTAAGAGTTTGCAAATTTCACACACTGTTGATTTTGTAATCAGTAAATTGTGCTTATTGTGAGTAAAAAAACGCAATCGGATTTCATGACACAACAAAATGTAATATGAAAAAGCTTCATCATCTTTGTAATTAAAGTTCATTAATATATAAGAAAATGATGAAACTTAGGGGACTTAATACGACAAACGCTTAAGTTATAAAACAAAGTTAATTAAAGTTAATTTTAGGGATTCTATATTTATTTAGGCGGCACAAATTCTGAGTCATGAACAAAAAAACAAAAATAAAATGAAGTAAAATAAAATGTCGAAAAATGAAATGAAGAGGAGGAAAAATTAGTATAAATTTGATTTTTACTGAATTAATATATTAATTTTTTTAATTGCGATAAATGCAAGATTATTGACGAAAACTTTTTTCGTGAATATCATCATTGATACAAACATCCCGCTGGAGAACGGTCATTACCAATGCAAACATCCCGCTGTGGAAACGTCATTAACAATAGAAACATGCTGCAGGAAGCTGAATGAAGTAACCAACCACGTTGAAGGGTAAAAGATCCTCTTAAGTTTCTAACTAAAAATTTATGGGGTCGTCGAGATACTAAGTGAACAAAGTGTTATACGAAAGGAATAGTCGAAAATAGTTCATATAACAGAGCGATTTTACTTTAATGGGGTATGTTCTTAAAGTATATACGTATATCTGTAATATGAATGTTTGAAGTTAAAGGTATTATAAAAAAGGATGAAGAAAGGAATTTTATCCTATCAAATTTACATATATAAATCTAGAACTACAATAATTAAAAAATTGGGGTTTATATGGAATATCATTACAAATTTATTGGTCGATATATCTGTCATTGGTTTCACTATAGATATCTCGAAATATCCATATTTGAACACATTAAAAAACTATTAGCATTCTTATAATAAATATAATAAAATTATATAAATATTACATCAATGTTAATTGGATGAAAAAAATATTACTTTTATATAAATTTGTGACTTCTCTGAAGCAAACTGGAACTGAAGAGAGAAAGTGATGGGGAATATTCGTACATATTCTTTTTATTCTTTTTATTAAGAAAATGTGTTTCATACACTTCCTCTGAAGAATCCTTCTAAAGAAATGCGTATCTTTTAATCGCATTTATTAGTTATATTCACTAACACACACAAGTGAAAATAACTAAGTAGAAATACTATTTGCATTTATTACCACATTTATTAATACCATTATAATATTAAAAAAATGTCCATATTATGAACATATAAAAATTATATTATATAAAATTATATTATTAAATATTATATAAAATAAAACTTATTTAAACTCACCTCTGTGCAAAAAAGACAGCCACACTGAACCAGAGTAGTTGAATCGTCAACATTTTCAACATCGACAAGACATAATTTACACGTAAAACTTTGAAAAGGTAATGACTCATTCAGTCGTCGTTGTATTTCCTCTGTACTCGACTTTGGTGGCATAGAAGCTATCGTCATTGATCCATCAACTCTGTCCACAGACTCAAGAATGGGTGCTTTTGGAAGTTGAATAACTTGAGAATGTAATGTATGGTTATTTGACGATTTTACTACTTCCAAAGATTTGCTTGTATGTAGTGGATCGGTAGGGGCGGTGGGCGTAGGTGTGGTGGGTGTGATTGTTGCAGATGGCGGTATGCTGGAATTAAGCGTTGCTGTTGTTAAATTGGATGGCGGACTTAAGCTAGTACTGCTATGTGTACTATTGACACCAGTGGAACTTTTACGAGAACAAATATAACTATTACTGAGCTTATTGGAGATGGGTTCAGTACCAATATTACTCGGTACATTTTCAACCATACTATCATGACTATTACCATGGCTGGAATCAATATTTCGAAAGTTTTTGATATTGCCTCTGAACAGTTCTTGTAGTTCTTGCGGATGATGATTAGTACTCTTTTGTATTAAAGGTACACAATTCGATGTAGGATTTGCAAATGAAACGCCACTTGTGGACGCAACGTTTAATGAATAACGAGAAGTTGATGCAGCTAGAGATAACAAACTGGAACACCGTGAGCATGTCATATTAATGCTGGTAGCACTAGTACGTAGACGATTGAGCGGTCGTATTTGTTCCACACCGTTTGCATTAAAGATACCGCTGCTTGTTCTGTGTGTACCAGCCACATCAGTTTGAGTCTCGCCCAATACTGGCGAACACAAGCTAGCCTGGCGTGTTAATGCAACCATCGTTTCACATTTACGAAGTCCTTTATATTGCACAACTGATTGTGACTTCTCATGATTTAAACTACTTACGCTGTCTTCTCTTCGCAAAATGTTTCGTATCTTTTGCTGTACCACGTTTAAAGATGATGTACTTCCTTGCGTTACCCCATTTACTAACTTCTCTGAACTTTTGTACGTTTCAATTTGCCTTCCAGTTGGAGTTCGTATTACAACTAAATTCTGTTCAGATGGCGTTCGTGTAATTCGTATTTCAGGTGAAACGGGCCTTTGTAGGGTAACTGCAGCACTAGTGCTATCTACACTAAAACTATTCGTTGCATTTCCCCCACTGCGTCCGTTTGACGATTTAAGTCCCACCAATGATTTAAAGAAGTTCTTAATACGCTTGCGCGGTGGCAATGGGCCCCCTGCAAGCCCAAGTGAGCCTGCATGAGGGCCCTCAATATCGTAATTATTAGGAGCTACAACACTACTAAAATCACCACTTCCACTCAAGCTGTTTGTACGTACGTTGAGTGTATTCTGCAACGGCAATGAATCGGGTACTTGTATTGTCGAAATCGGCTTCCTTGGTAATTTTTCCTTGTCTTGTGAAGCTTCCGTGTGCAGTTGGGCTTGAATATTAATTTGGTTACGTGTTTCTAGCAGCGCAACCGTTTCATTATCCGGTGTGGACGTTGAAGTGTTAACAGATCGATGCTGATAGTGATGTTTCCTTATATTAGCCAGATTGTGTACCGGCGAGGAGTCCTGCAAAATCAGACAACTCATAATTAAAATTTATGTTTAAGGTTAAATAACTTAACAATATAACTTCATAATTTAAAAAAACCAATAACAAATTCTAACTGAAATTTTTAATGTTAAAAAAATTTTTATAACTTCTATTAAAATAGAATTCTTTTGCTCGGCAGAGTGCTACGATTAAATCTTTTTCAAAACAGATAGGTGTAATTTTAGAGATAATTATATACGTACCCTAGAATCTTGTTCTAGTTCCTCCTCAAGTGCACTGTATACTGGAGCGTACCAGGAGTACGCGTGTTGCTTACGTGATGTTGAGGCCGTAGCTGTTGGTATGGATGGAGCAGGTAAAGCGTTACTACGATTTTTATGTAGTACACTACTAATTTTACCAGTCTCAAGTCCCGATGAGCAAGAGAAATTATTGTTAGCACTACACGTTGAAGTTGTTACTAAATTGTTGTTGTAATTTAGTTGCAGACTACGTCGTTGCTGTTGATAATATGTGGCAGGTAAGTGTTTTGTTTGCTTACGATTTGACTCTGAAGTCGAATGAAAGCTGAAATGATGCCGCCTCTGTTCCTGCAAGTGTTTCTGTTGTGAATTTAAAGCGGATGTGCCTTGCACTATTCCTGTCTGCAGCGTAGAATTATTATTTTTTATTGTATTTGGATTTGGTGGAGGATTGTATTTTGTAATTGTAGTAGGAGTTTTCAATTGTTCCTTTTTCGTATAAATCAATGAAGCGCTATTCTTTCGTAAGCAAATTGCACGATTTTTATCTAGTAGTGCCGACTCGATGTTCGTTAGAAGTGGTTCAGTTTCTGATAATGGTAGGTTCACAATGTTATCGTTTTGATTATGCGTCGCTGAATCACCGGGAAAATTGATAATGAAATGTTCTGCAGCATCATCAAATATATTGGAACGTGAACAGCTCTGATATCTTTCACTGCTTAAGCTACCATCTTCACTCGACGATGAACGTGAATATTGGCAGTCGCTGATTATGGATGAACGTTGTGCGGAATCACGTTTTGTAAAATCAGTACGGCGTGTAAACTTGGCAAATGTATGCTCAGCACTTGGAGGAGTAGTACTCAAGTCAACTAATTGTATTGTATCGTATTCTTCGTCATCAATAGAGTTATTCGCCAGACTGTTGTGGCGATTTGGCAAAAGTCGCTGGCTTTGCTGTTGCTGATATGTTTGTGGATGGAGTGTAACTAAGTTCGTTTGTAAGTTGGATTGTGGTAGTGTTGGCGATGCATCAACTGCAGCTGCAGCTGTTGCTGAGCAAGCAAAATTTAATTGGTTCTCAACTAGAATTTCTCGTTGTTGAAATTTTGTTTTTCGTATTTGTTGCCTATTTAAATCTGATGCACTTGTTAAAGCACTAGATTTTGCGTGCAATTGAATTTGATGTAGTGGAAGTTGTTGTTGCTGTTGGTGATGATGATGATGTATAATGCTTTCATTTTGCTGTAAGGCTGCTGATTGCATTGGTGGCCTCATGTTTTTGCAATTCAAAATTTTGACATACACCGTTGTAACCGTAGAAGAAAATGCCTTTTATGCATTTTGGTGCCATTGGCTTAGCCAAAGAACAAGTCCAAGCCATTGTGATATTGGCCTAAAATGGAAAAACAAAGTAATTAAACGAATTTTATTATTATTTATTAAAAAAAATATTTAAATTAAATATTTAAAAATATAAATAAAGGAATTATTTAATTATTTACTGTCATGTTTATAATGCGTTTAAAAACCATAATTTTAAATATATTAAAAATGTGTACAGTAGAAACTCTCATTAACGGACACCCATCATGAATTGACAACATTCCTAAAACTACATATTGTTTTTATTATTAATTAAAACAACTGAATCGATGAGTGTCCATTCAAAAGAAAAGTTTATTTAAATAGAAAAGTTTATTTAAATAGAAATTTGTGTCAAAAAAGAGTTTTGGTAAAAAATTTATTATTTCTTATAAATAAACAAAAAACTTTAAGAGCTAACCATGCAAGAAATTTGGTTATTGTACAAAATATTTGAACTGATTTTGATTTTTGTTGCTTTAAATAAACACATTGTAGGATATTCTTATGAAAGAGAACCGTTTCCTCACCTTATGATTTTTTGTGGAGTCTTTGGAGCAAGTTTACTAATTACAGTCCATAGTATGCTTGCTATTTGCCGTGGTAGTGGGACAAACGTTTATAAAGAAGCCATGTTTAGCATAATAAGTGCAGTAATATTTTTTGGATTCAGTATATATACAATGCGTTTGGTTGAAAAAGATTTTCACCTCTTGTACATAGTTGATGTGAATGAACCAAATCATAAGTTTTTTAGCAATAGTAGATCACAAAGTCAGTGTTATTTGACCTGCGGTGTTACATATTTGCTTCATGGGGTGTTTGCTGTCGACGCTTACCTAACAACATGGACGAGGAAATCCGATGCTTCGGAAGCGGATACGCAATATTTATTTGTTTTTAGCAAAGTTGTACAAGATAAATTGGAGCAATATGAGTGGTTTCAGAAAATAAAAAATAAAGGTGAACTCATCCAAGATATGTCTTTCGACTCGTATACCAACAATCCAGTTTAAATATTGAAATACGCGAACTTGACGATATTTGTAAAGTGAAAATAAATTATATTTAAAGTAAAAATAAAGTGAAAATAAAAAATTTAATTTTATTACATAAGTTATAACATATATGTTTTATTACTTATAAATGATAAAATAATTCACTGTAATTATCCGTTAAAATATTTTTTTAAATTTAATTCATTTCAGTTATATTTTGGCATAATAATGAACTCTCAGTAATCAATCATATACACAAAAAAAAAAAATAATAGATAACTCTCGCAAAAAACGGTAGATGTTATTAAATATAATCAACATAGAGAAAAATGTTTTAAACAATTTAAAAAAATTATTTTTATATACATTTAATATCCAATTATGAGACATTCCTAACATTCTGTAAACTTTGGACTATTAAAATTATAAAACCTAATTAAAAAGATACAAAATTTTTTGAAAATAAAATTTTTCAGTTCTATTCAACCTATTTTCATGTTTGGTTTTTCATGTCATTTATTTAGAGCGTTGTCTGTGAAATTTTTATGCTTGTATTTACTTCATTTAAATCACTAAGGAACAGCGGAAGCCGAGGATATAAAAAATGTTGGCGCAAGTGGGTGTCTTGATAAGGATTTTAACATCATTTGAGTCGCAAAGATACTTAACATGCGATATTCTTTAAAAATTCATAAAAATTTTTGCAATTTTTCAAACCAGTTGATTTAGTAATAAAATTGAATGACAGGTTATTTAATCATAATAAATATTAAAATCGTCTCCTTAAAAAAATTAATATAATGGTAATAAAATTGTATATGGAGACAAGAAACTGCACATATAGACAAAAAGGAAATTGGATTGTAATAATCGATCTAAGGAAATTTTTTGGTAATGTTTTTTTTTCAATGATAAACCAATATTAAACTGAAGGAAATTAACAAATTGAGTTTAAATTTGATTCTTCTTAAATTTGTTTTATGCCAACAATTATCACGTAAAATGTAAAAATAATTCAAAATTAAAAATTTTATATACTGTTGTTTTATAACAATAACAACAAATATATGTATAAATAAAAAATTAAATTAAAAACCAGTTCCAAAATACCAACTTTGATAAAATTAAAAACGACTGTGTCTCAGCAATATCAGACAAGGAACCGTTCATAATTATCTCATATAGAATACTAAATGTATTGCTTTAAACATCTCTTGTGGTTAAACAGTTTAAAATTGAATAAATTTGCGTTTCTAAGAAAATTATTCATAAATATTAAACCTTGCAAAAATAAAATAAATCGAAATATTTTTCCGAAAAACGAAGAATATCCCGAGTATACTTAAAGAGTATAATAAGATATTGTTGATGTAAATAATATATTTAAGAAACTATTATCAAAATATTCGATTATACCGCACAGTGACCAAGTCGGGATGGACATATGACTATCTCAAAAACGTATTTAGCAACTCAATTGGTTCTATTGAATAGACAAATCCTTGGTACCTCAGCAGGATATCTTAATCACAAAGAGTACATTAGTATGAAGATATCGCAAGAATGAAAAATGAGGATGTGGCAATAAAAAATTTTTAAAGTCGTACCACAAAAGGTTGAAATATTTTAGATGACGTCCTCCAAAAAGAGAAAGGAAGCTTGTAAAAGATCGAAAACCTAAGTACAAAATCATTAGATATGGGCGATCAGTAAAGGTACTTATTTTCAAAACAAAAAAATCGGAGTCAGTGCTAAACATGACCCCTTAAAAAGTTGATTGATGTTGATGTTGATCCTTTTTTCGAGTCAGCGCAACTGGGCACTTTTACTCTTTGATATCTGGGGGTACTACAGGGTCCCACCCATCTCATTGACTTATTTATGTATTGCCTATAAGCCTCACGATTATTCAGTGATTGATCTAAGATCTGCGTACCTCCCCGTGCGGAGAGTGATTACTCTAAGATTAGATAGTAGTAAGTAGGATAGCCCGTTAATTTTCGCATATAACTTCAGGGCTCTGTTCCTTATGTATTTCTTGATCGGGTCTATTCTGAGGTCTCTTAGCATGTCGTTTGTGCGGATGTACCAAGGCACTTTGAAGAGCCTTCGGAGAGCCTGACTTTGAGCGACTTGTAGCTTTTCTATAGTAGGGTCGGCAGATTTGCTATACGCGACACACCCATTTTTAAATATTAAAAATACGGTTTAAAATATAAGATGAACATCTCAGAAAAGCTGGTATAGTAAACATTTATGCGAAATTCGAAACATTTTTAAAGCAATGTATAACTGAAATAACTATAATTAAATTGAATAACTTAAACACTTCAACATTATTGAAAACTTAGATATATCTGTACATAATTAAATTAATCTTGCATTCAGTGGACACACTGGAATATATATTAACTTAAATAAGCTACATAAGAAAACATCCGTTATATACTTAGTTGTAAAGTTCTAACTTTAAATCTGAAAAACAATTTAATTTGAACAAATTATCATTAATGATCAGTTGTCATTAATTAATAAATTTTAGTACTGAGTTTTAGATTTCTTTAAACAAATAATGACGAATTTTATATTCTCCAATAACTTCGAGACGAGAGAACTTAGTTTAAAAACAAAAAGGATAAAAAATTCAAAAGAATGAGTGGGTGGGTTAGTTTCAGTTTTAACCGAAATGGAGTATATATAAATAAATTTATCTCAAATTAATTAAATAATAGACTTCAGTAAAACGCAATTGATTTTAATTTCCATTTCCAAATAAATCTAGAATTATAAACTCATTTATGTTTATTTTTGTTGTATTTGTGGTTTGTGAGAATAATGTGAAACAGATTTTGTGAATACGAATTATTTGCTCCATGAACTGATTTTTCGCACAAAAGGTATAATGCACAATGAAAACATTAAATATTGTTGATGCTTTCACAATAATTGCGGTTACGAGATACTTGTACTTATAAGATTGACTTGTATTTATAAAAACTGCAATTAGTAATGGTGACCCAAATAATACTCAGAAACGTAATATTTGTATGAGACCATCAAATAAATAAATAGTTTTTCATGAAATGAGTTCCAATATTACACCTATTATTCTTCTTTTGATAATTAAATATACAAATTTATAGGTAAATAAATATACTCGTTAGTAGATGTAATATAATATAAGAAAAAAGTATTATTTACTTTCGCTTTTAGCATTCTTATCTTAAATTAAAACCAACACATTTTCATATTAAGTGCAAGTATTTAGATTTATGAATTTTATTAAAAAATTTAGTTAAATATTTAAAAAAAAAGCTTGTTTTATTTTATCATTATTAAGAATTTTTTTGCAATATAATTACTTTTATGCAGTGAACGAAAACAAACACTAAAATACCGAACACAGTGTACTGTTTGTCATCTTTGATAAAACACGCTAAACGAACAATATATTAAAAAAAATCCCAAATAATTTAAAAAAAACTTTAGAGTTTGTGTCCGCGGACACAAATCGTCCAAATTGTTTTGTTCGATGGACATTAAAAAGACCACTAACCCTTCGGGAAAAGAACACTAAAAAGACCACTACCTTCGAGAAAAGAACACAAACAGTACACTAAAATTTTAGTTTGTGTTTGCGGATACAAACTCTTAAAATTTTTTGATGTGTTTCGGAGTAGTACACTACGATACTGTACTCTTTATTTTCGTTCACTGCTTTTATGGCAGCATCTAAATTATGATGTTTAGGTTTTAGGATGTTTCTGTGAGACACTCGACGTAGTCCGACATGGGTGTGATAGGACCACTAGTTTCTTGTTCCTAAAAGCAAATATCATAGATTTGCCTTCCTGATACAAAATATTATGAAAATATTATACAATAGATTATATTTTTGTTTAAAAATTTTATCTAAATTTTTTTTTAAAAAAATATTTTTTTTTATACTTTTTACTTTTACATTTACAATTTTTTGATTTTATTCTAAGTTTAATTTATATATCCATAGACGTAGTCATAAAGCGACGTAGTAAAATGGGGCTACAAGAAACTATTTGATAGTTGGAAAATTTTTTTTAGTTTTAAACACTAACAAGCAAAAAACAACAGATTATTCCAATGAAATTTTCTTGAGACTGTGAGTTTTCATTATTAAAAAAATTGTCCTGATTCAATCACGATTCTGGTTTCAAGACTACTTTCGCAAATATATGTCCAATACCTTCGTCATCGATATATCACACATGTAACATATATGAATGTTATATTTGAATATTTCACAAATATAAAATATTATTTCGACTACACTATTTGCTAATAGGATGGGGAAAGCACAACATTATGTTCCTTTTTTTGGCTACGCCATAAAGTTGGTTGAAATGTTTGATAATGTTATATTACTCAACTAGACTACCTTGGTATTAAATTTTTCATAATCCCGTATAACTTTACTTGGTTACTGAATTTAAAATACTAAATACTAATAAATAATCCAAGTATTCAACTCAACTAGAATAAATTTGTAAAATACTTTTTTAAACGTAAAATAAACTTAATATTTGGTAGAGATTTAGTTAACCACGCTCTTTTTCGAGTACATGTTTTTTTATATTAATACCAATAATAATATTGTTAATACTAATCTTCATAATGTTGGATTAAGTATGAAACCAAACAATAGTAAACAACATTGTTTAACTTTAGAAAAACGAGTGAGTATATATTTATACTACTAAAATTCATATTACATATACACAGTAATTAAGATTTCATTTCAAAAAATTTATTAATTTCTCTTTAATATAGTAAACATATTTCAAGAAATTTGCTCCAAATATAAACACCAAATCAAAAGATACCTCCATACGAACCCAACCTGAATGCTCTCTGAACCCTCCTATACCAATATACAGAAATGATCAGAATTCTTAAAATCTTCAAACCGCTGTCATCTTATTTAGGAAAAACATTTAACTAATGTAAATATATTTAAACTGTTAAAATAGTACGTTTAATAATTACATTATCACTACGTAGTTGCTTAAGGCCCATGCTGCTATAGCAATAACCTATTCCTTACTTGTTATGTTATTTAAATAACAATGTAAAGTTAATAATAAATAAATAAATAAAATAAATTTCAACAAAGTACTAGTATCTAAAAACAATTAATCGTTAACAATTTCTATAATGTCTTATCTCAATGACAACACTACAACAGAGAGGATTATAAAATTTATTCGTTAACCTAAAACATTAGTTTTTGAGATTTTAATATCGTACAAATTGTTGCAATTAAAATTATTACAATTAAAAAATAAATGACTTTGTATTAAGATAAAGTAAATACCACTTATTTAAGTGGCGGCAAGTAGAGCTTCTTTTTCTTACCAAGTAACATATAAATCCCGTATTGTTCCCTTACATCTGTAAATTCTGAGAATTTAAAATTGATGAAAGTGAGTTTTTTCGGAATATTCATATTTGGATAACTTAACAGATTTATTTCTATGTTACTTTCATAGTAGCATATAATATTGAAATGTCATCTATACTGCATACTTTTAAGGTAATTTTCGATGACTTGTCAACACATAGTTGGCAATAGTGCTATCATAACTTGACATATGTTCGTCAAGTTTTCAAAGCGTTGAGAGTTTGAGGATTGTCTGTATAAACACGTGTCTTTGCGTAACTCCACAAAAAAGTCCAATGGTGATAAACCGAATTATTGTACTGAGTCGGTGGCCATTCGTATCACAAACATATGAAATTACACGTCACAGAAATTGTTCGCACAACTACATACTCGTATCTACCATATACATATTTTCCATTTTATGCCGAAAAAAAAAATTATAATCATTTGTCTATAGCAATCATAATTGACAGTTTGTGTCACATTTTCATCATTTTTAAAAACATCTAAGCCTATCACACATATGGACCAAGTGTCCTATCAAACAATTACTATTTTTGGATGTAATAGCCTTTCGGTACTTGCTTGTGAATTTTGTGGTGAAAAATTCACCAAAACTTTGTGATAAGTTCCCCAACACATTGGAAACATATTGAGCGGTTGAACGATCCACATTATAAATTGACAAATGATGCCTTGGATGACATTTTAGTTTGAAATATGTCACTGTAACAGTGCTGCCAAATCAAGACCTCAAAATAGATAACCCTTTATAATTATAAATAATTTTGAAGTAATAAGTACAAACAAATTTAGTAAGAATATACTGCACCGAAATATAAAAATATTAAAATCACAACAAATTTGTTGGTCTTTAATAAATATTTACTACAAAATATATTAAAATTTCTTACTTCTGGAAATTTTTAAGCATTAAACTTTTAGATTAAAAAAATGTACACAACATAAAAAGCTATTAAAACTGTGCTAAAAACTTGCCCAATTTAGATAAAAACTTTGTAATTAAAATGAAATAAGCATCAAAGTTGAAAAGTAATATAAAAATTAGAAGAAAAAAAGTTAAATTAAGCAAGGACGTCGCTGTTCTAGCTTTTGGTGGATCTTAAATTGAGAACTCAATGATGGATAAAATGGAAGGCAAAAACTTTTCGAATGTTGAATTGAAGTTACTTATTAAAAATATTAAACAAATCAAAAATTTTCAATGAAATTAATGTAACGAATTTCCTTTTATTTATATTAAAAAGACGATACCTTCTGCTCAAAAAGTACTCGGAGTTTGTAAATAAAACACACAAATTTTAATTTTATTCCAAATTTATTTTATCTCCTTCAAAATATGCTCCTTCTGAAGCGATACACATATACCAAAGCTTAACCCAATCGTAGGCCCGTGCAGGTATGGCTTATAGTTCCTTCGGCGAATTCTCTTTTACCGATTCAATCGAACCAAAACGCTTACCACGAAAGGGCAATTTGAGTTTCGGGAACAGGAAAAAGTAGCACGACGCCAGATCTGGCGAATATGGTCCCTGAGCGATGACAGTGGTGCCGTATTTGGTCAAAAAATTGCGTACAACAAGAATTTTCTACAGTAAAAATCGCTAAATGCACTTGAGGTAGTTTCACATTAACAACTGCTGTAAACCAACTAATTGACAGATAGCGTTCAAATTTTTACAAATTTGTTAAAAGGGTGTACCAACACAACAAGAAAAAATTTTTTAAAAGATCTATTACTTAAAGAGTAGTTAAAACACAACAAAATCCGGATACTTTTTGAGCAGAAGGTAAGTACATTTGTTCAGAACAGAAACTTTTAAGGTTAATTTGTTCTTGCCGATAATGGCGTGTCTTTTTATGACGAAAGAAACTATTTAAAAGTTATACCGATTCGAATAGCAAAGAAAGGACAAAGACAAAAATTTTTTATTCAATTTATTGAAATTTGGCTAACCATACAACGCTGTTTCGAGTATTGCCAAGTACTCTTCATCAGTGGTCTTTGGAAATAATCGAATTTTATTTAATTTAGTTTATAGTCCGTATTAATTTGTTTGGACTGCAAGTGCCAGGCTTAGAACTCGTGCCTGTCAAATTAGAAGCGATGACTAATCGTGTTTAACCACAAGAAGCCAAGGCTGCACAAACTTGCAATGCTCAAGTTCCAGGTTCCAAAAACTTTTAAGTTTAATTGCAATTAATATATATAAAGATAGTTTTACAATTAGAGTTTCATTTAATTTCCACATTCAATGGTCCAACCACAAGACCATTCTGTGGTAGATCCTAAACCTGTTGCATTTCAAAAACTTGATATCATCAGTTTCCTAGAGTGAAGACATTGCAAATGGATTGATATTTTCATTTAATCATCGACGATAAATCCTAACTTTATAAAGTGCAATCAGAATGTTAGTATTTTTATGTACCATATATTCTTTTTTTCCAATTAACGATGATGCGCTAACTAATAATCCTAAAGTTTTCGATTCATACAGTTTTAGAATTTTTGATTATCAATATTTTATATTTCTTTAGAATTAAAAGCGTATTTGTTAAAAATAAATTCCAATAACTTTTATTTGCAAATCTGTATATTTAACAGAAAGTCAGATATTTACTTTTTGTATACTATTATTCTTAAGTAGATTTCTATGTATTCACAGAAATCTATGTATTCGCTTAAGTCTTTTTTTTAACATGACATTGTATTATTTTTATACAATAAATCTGTAATACTTTGGAAGGAAGAAACATTTTAGCAAAGAACTAAATCCAACAAACTTTCTCTCTTTTAATTGACTTATGTCATTTCGGATGTTAATTAAGAAATTTTTCGTTTTCGTTTCAATTTAAGTAAAAGATTGAATGACGCACATACAAATAGGAACGCAATAATTTTTACGGAAAGGAAACTTTACTTTAAGTAACTTATTTAATTTTATTAATGGAATGAAATGAATTTATTAAAGAGAATTTGAAGTTGACATTGAAGTACGTCAGACAAATAGTACTACTTTAACTAATGCGGTATGTATAAAATGAACACTATACTAATTAAAAGTATGTATATTAACTTATTTACCATTTTGTAAAATCCTACAGGTAATGATAATTAATTCGCCAAATCTGTAAAAGAAGAAAATATATAATTAGTAATACATTTTAGTTTATTTATTACAAAACACTTAAGCTTAGTAGTAAATTAGTTTAAAAAAAACTATATTGCTCATACGCACCGTGGCCCTAATAATAAGTAGTGCCTACATATAGAACATACATATTTTATTAGTTAATGTATTTATAAATAGGGAACTTTGTTTTTCTTATTATAACTTTTTAACTTTCGGTATTGTTTACACAATAGTTACGTTTTGTATCACACTGAAATGTGTTATTATATACATGTATTAATAGGATATGATTAAACGATATATGTATATCGATTCTATTTGTCTATTTCTAAAGATGTTCTATTTAAAAGTTTTATATATCATGTGAAGAAAAATTTATTTAAATAAAAAAGTTGGTAATTCTTAATTAAGTGAATTTTTGGATGACCCTATAATTGTTTTGGATTTTGCTAAATATTCATCAACAGCTATCTTTGAAAATATTTTTTGGATTTAATTGTTCGTATTCAATGCATAGCCTACAGGTAGCAAAGGATAAACTCAAACCCTGAATTATTCGAAACGCAGCCTTAGGTCTAAAACAGCTGAACCAACTACGTCAGTTTTCTGTTGGACTCTTTCACTAACAAATTATCTTGAATTGTTATAAAGTAAAAGCATAAACTATGGTTGAATGTATATATGTTACATTTATAATTTGTTTTGTTTTTTTAAATTTAAGGAGCATATTTTACGTGTATCTTTCACTAGCTATTCCACTGTGTTTTAAAATGAAAACTACTACATTTTTGAATTAAGATTATAACATTTTACATTGGTTAGAATATTGATTGATTGATTGATTATTAAGATATATTTGTCTAACTTAAACATACAATTTTTTGTGTTGAATGTAATATTTAACAAAACTAAATATAAATACAAAACTAAAATTAATTATTGATTTTTAACAACATTATATGAACATACTTATAAAGACATTTAATCCTTAACCCGACCAAAACTAACTTTACTTTACATGTTTTATTTCTTTTTTTGTTTGTTTTTTTGACCACATGAAATAATTTTTAATATTAAAATCAATTTAATTAAAACGGAAATATCACAAATTTTAAGCATAATTTTTAACAACTCCTTAGGATTTTACTTTTTAATTATACTAAAAACTGACTGAAAATGATAAGAATAACCATAAATTTTAAGTGGTTTTAGATCAAAGAAATATTTCTATGACTTGTTCTTTTATTGCAGCTCTATTTTTAAGTAGAATTTGCCTTTTATTGTGCAAATAATAAGTAATTTAACAGATACCAAATACAAAACAAAGATAAGTACACTTTCAGAATGAAAGGATAAGTAGGTGCCACAACTTTAGTATAAAAAGTCAACAAGTTACACTATTTTGTGTCAACTTTTCTAATTAGAAGACTTCTTTTATTACATTTAACATGTTTGTGCAGTTTGTGCAACATTTTGAGATACCAACTGAAAGATTTCAAAATGAAAATGTAGTTCAACAGAAATTGGCTACTTTTGTAATGCACGATAACACTGGCACCAGAGAAAATATGAACAATGACAATACCAATTTGCATTTACATGCAAATTTGCCCTTTCGTTCTATAACTTCAGATATTAAGTAGAAAATGTGACACAGTAAACTTAAAGAGATGAACACGGAGTTGAATAAAAGTAAAAAGCATTATGTCAATACAGTCAATTTAATTTAACTTAAATTTCGTTTTAAATTGAAGCGCTTAAGGCACTTAATGTACTTGGTTTGAACCAAATTTCATTTAGTTAACCAAATGTTAGGACTTAAGTCATTAGTAACAATTTAAATTAGATTTTTATAAAAAATGATGCAGCTGTTACCTACATTTGAAGAGTGAACTTATAAGTACTATATGTATATATATAAAAAATATGTTTTATATATCAGAGCAAAGACAGACAAATAAAATTTTGAAACCTTACCGACGTTGACCTGAAAATAAACAATTCTGACCATGAAAAAAGACATCCCTTTTTGCACCTAAACATTCTTTCCTTAAAGTTGATAAAAGATACATTAAAAAGCATTTTTTTTTTTGCATGTTTCCCTTTTTATCTCATACAACAGTATAACTAACCATAAGTCGAATAAAAAATGCTTTTCGCATGCTCTACTAATTTTGCAGTATCTATGCGAAATTTGAAAGACACCTCAACTACGACAATCGGCGTTGAAACATCAGTCACTTTAAATGATGTGATTATTCAGTGCGCTAAAAACTGATAATAAACATTTTTATAATAGAAAACCATTTTAAAAATGTGGAATAAAAACATTTTACTAAGTGACAGTTGGGAATAATACAAAAAAAAACATTTTTTTTAAAATTAATAAAAAAGTAAAATTGTTATCAAAGGAAGCAACAGAAGCCAACAACTAACTCGAACAGTCAGTCACCGACATTTCGATGACCTACTTTTCATGCGTTTTCATTTTATTCTTTCAGTTTGTTTTAAACGTCACTTTATGAATTATGTTATGAAATTTATTATGGGAGTATGTCTATGTGTCTATGGGAAGTTTGTACACATCCATATTCGCTTCTGCCTTGGCTGTTTTTCGTTGATGAAAATGCTCATGAGCGCGTGATTGTGCTCGAACTTCGGAGACCGAAAACACTTAAGGCAATGTAAGCAAACAAATTTATTACAAAATTTAAATTATGATGCACGAGCGTGTTGGGACTTAGGTTTTGTTTCCTGCTGTCTTCTATGTTGGAAGAGATATACGACTATAACAAATTCAAATATAAACTTTAAAATATATAGTGCAAAAAGTTATCTGCACATTGTTAAAAATTGAGTTCACACTGTTGTTTCTAACAGTTTTTCTTTTTGGTGGATTTAAAGGATTTCAGGTACGTTAAAAATGGGACATTTCATGAGATTTATTTAAAGCAATATGGATAATAATTATACATCTGTTGAGATATATGGATAGATAACTTTTTATTGCGATGTTTCAAACTCTTCTCCGTTTTTGAAAGTGTTGCAACTTTTACTAATCGAAAATAAATAGTAAATAAATCTACAGATGCGAGAATTAAAAGTCGGTTGAATGTTTTTATAAACCATTCATATGTCATTTTCGTCATAACTGACATTAAATTACAACTTATAATAAAAATATATGCTCTCGTCCGTGTGAATCCTGGAGAAACATTAGTATGACTTTCTCCATATTACGCTCCTATATTAGGTTCTATATATATATTAGCATACAACAAATAATGCCTTACAAAAGAATAGTATTGAAATTAACAATTAAAAAATAATAAATATAATTAATTAATTCAATTATTCTTCAGCGGGTTTATGATTTCGTTCTAATATAACACAGCAAGTGAATTTGTTAATGAACTTTCACAGCAAGCTAACAAAACTCCAAAGTGGGAACATACAAGACAAGTACAACTTGGGTCAGTTAGCTAATGAATACTGACTCTGAGCTTCAAATTTGGCAGGGTACGAGTTCTACCTTTCGTACTTGCACTCATACAAATTATATTAAATTATTTACGAATAAATAAATACAAGAAATAATACCAAGACCACTGATGATGGGTATTTTGCAATATTCGAGTTCAGACAAAAATTCCATCAATTACAATAATATAAAATGAATTTTTGTTGTTGTAGTTTACTACTTTTCGAAACCTCTCTATAACCCTTCAAGAAATTTCGGCATACAGAAAGAAATAAAAACTTCATTCATATGATGATACCACAACTATGTTAATTCATATCGATTTCGTTGGCCACATACGTATAACATAAACACATTTTTAATTTATTGAAACTGTTTGGAGTGGAAACTCAGACGCATTGGAAATGCGAATTTAAACCTTTTGAACTGTGTTCATCATTCTTATTACTACGATCATACGTTGTATTGTTGCAGTAATTCTAATAACTCCACTAAAACAAGAACACGTTTATCGGACACTATGTATAAATTTATTCTAACGTCGACAAAACATTAATATTAGCAATTTAATGCAATCGTAGTAATTACGACAATCTTCTCTCTGAATTTTTTATAACTTTGCCTTAGATAATTAGCAGTTAATATATTGAAATGATAGCTATCAGATATAAAAACAATGCGATATATTCTCAGTTAAAGGAAATAATTTTGTTTAAACAAAAAAAAAAACAAAAAAGGAACGTGTTTCTGTACTAATTTTTAACAAAAAAGAGTAATTTTAGTGAAAAATTGTAGTCTACAACTTATCAATACAAGTCATATGCGTTAAATAATAAAACAAATTTACGTCATATTTATGTAATAATTTTCTGTATTTGTTGTAGTTTATTATGAAACTAATTGTATTTAATAAAACTTAAGGTTAAATTATATGTAAACTGTGTGAAAAATTTCCTTTAACTATAGTAAAATAAATTTTATTAATGCACGACCATCCGACACCAGTTTTTTAGTTAGATCTAATAACGTTTATTCACGCGTTTTATTTTATGTGAGATGTTTTATTATACTTATCACTGAAATTAACATATTTTTACTAATTAACTAAAATTAAAAGTGAAAAATAAATAAATTTTTATTGAAGTATTGCACGAAAAATAAAAATACGTTGCCACCCCGAGGATTTTTGTGTGATAATCGTATTGACGAATTAATTACATTCGTTTTACGAATAACGTGTAAATGTAAAACATTAAACATTAAAACATCATTAAACAAAAAAAAAAAAATCATCTTCGTTAAAAAATAAAAAAATATGATTAGTTATATTCCATGTTCTTAAATGACACTCAAAGCGCTAGTATTTTATTTAGGGCACTGTTATACTCAATATTCAAAATTTATTTAGCTTACCGTCACATTTAAGGAGAGTGATAAAAGCTTTGTCTAAATTTATTAATCTAAGTATACTTTAAAAAAAAAATGACATTAGTTGCTGATAATTCAAAACAACG